TGTATTTTATTTAAACATCTAAAAGATTATTTTGGAAAGAATTTCCCACAAGGACCATTCCCATACCATTAACCCTCTAGTGACTTCCACCTTCTTGGGGACATCACATCACAGATACAAGGCTTGTCATCATGTAGCATTTCTGCTGCAACAGCATAAAAATTAATGGATGATTCCAGAAAACCAAAGTCACTAGTAGAAATCCTGCCGCAGTCCATTTTTTACTTGTATAAAAATTAAAATTGCAAAACAGGTTTACTACACACCTAATTTATATTGAAATACATCAGCGCATAACAAAACAAATAATGGTTATCTTTTCAATTGTATCTTTTCTTCCACTATATCTTTTGTATACAGTTGTATTTAATCTCCACCACCACATGCTCTTCAAGGCACTCAGGAAAGGGAAAAATTAAGTACATGTTTAAGCAAGTTACTAGCTAATTTTATAGGCAGAATGATAGCGATTCTATATTGCCCCAAGATCATATCCAGAAAATGACATCCTTAGAAAGACATCAAGGATCCAGTTCCTTAACATAACTGAAAGAGGGCTCCAATATTTTGTGTCACTACTCCAACCTAATTATTTTGACCTGGCAGTACCTGTAGTGGCAAGTAAATGGATTTAATAACAATTTTATTCTAGTATCCCTGATCAAGCACTGTCAGGGAGCATTATGGGAATTTACATTTGATTAAACTCACCCAACCCAGCTTGCATAATTGGATCACTATCAGCACAAAATCCCAGTTTGTACCAATCAGAGCAGCCGACCATGGGACTTGAAGTTTTACAGAGCTTTGGATTCCTTTAGGGAGAAATACGATAAATTCTCTTTTTTAAAAAGGAAGTTTTTTATTCATAATACAGTTAAAAACATTGGACATGGTGTGACTTTTCTGGTTTGAACATTTCCATCAAGTTTTACCTTACAACAAATACAGTTCATTTACACTATATTAATATATACAATTTATCACAATTCAAACACATAGATTCATACATCTGTGAAAATTACAACAAAACCATTCCTATTTGTCACAGAGTACTAACATGAAAATTTTTAAACTTTTGACTTATCAATAATCCTTTGTCCCGACATTCCTCCTCCTCTCCAACCAATAATATATTTTATTCCAGATTTCAAAATATTCCGTATCACATTTATCTTTTAATTCTAGAGTCAACCTGTCCATTTCAGCACAAAGTCAGTATCTTGTTTAATACCTCTTCTTCTGTAGGGGTCTCTTTGTTTTTCCAGTTTTGCGCGAAGGCCAATCTTGCTACCGTTAAAATATGTAACATTAAATATATTGTTCCCTTGTTACATTTGTCCTTTATAATACCCAAAAGAAAAAGTTCTGGTTTTAACTCTATATTTTGAGATAATATCTCTTCCAGCCATCGTTTTATCTGGTACCAAAAATCTCTAGCTTTTGGCCACTCCCACCACATATGATTAAAAAGTCCCTGGCATTGCCTTGCATTTCCAAGACATTGGTGAAGGGTTTCTGCTCATTTTAGCTAATCTTGTGGGTGGGAGGTGCCATCTATAGAACATCTTGTATAGCTTTTCTTTATACGTGGTGATTAAATAAGTTTTCTGTTTCTTTCCCATAATTCCTGCCAATTATCTAAATCGATACTGTAACCAAAGTTTTTACTCCAAATTAACATGGTTTCTTTCACCTGTTCTTCAAACATAGTCTGTTCCAGTAAGTATTGGTATATTTTTCTTATCACCTTCTCCTCTGTTCCTAGTAAAATTTTATCTAATTCCATAGGCTCTGTCTTTATCCGCCATTCTTTTTTATCTTTCCTGTATCATGATTGGACTTGAAGGTATGCCCACTGTTTGAATTCCATTCCTTCCTCGTATAGGTCTTTCCTAGGTTTCAATTCTCCTCTTTCATTTAGTATATCCTTATATGTAATTACTCTTCCTAATTTAATAAAATTTGGATGTGTAAACATCTCCACAGTCAATTGCTAATTAGGAATTTCCATATAGTTAACGTTTAATTTTAAACCAAACATCTAATAGTGCCTGTCTAACGTAGTGCTTCTGGAAATACTGGTGAGCTTTGTGCTTTCCTTCCCAGAGAATAGCGTGCCACCTTATTTGCATGTCATGACCTTCCAGCATTAATAACCTCCTGTTTTTCAGATGTATCCAATCTCTTACCCATGCCAATGTTGCTGCTTGGTAATATTTTTCCCAATCCAGGAGGCCGAGTTCCCCCTCTTTCTTTAAGAGTCCTGTAATAGTTTTAATTTAATTCTTGGTTTTTTGCCTTGCCAGATGAATTTAAATTTAAATTTAAATTTCTGAAAAATTCCTTTTCTAATCTTTTTGGTATACATTGAAATAAAAAAAGTATTTTAGGTAGTACATTCATCTTCATTGTTGCAATTCTTCCCATAAAGGAGAGTTACAAATGTTTCCATCTATCCAGGGCCACTTTGATTTGATCAATTAATTTATCATAATTATCTCTTTTTGAGTGTGACACTCTTTTTGAGTTTGCTGTTATTTGAATTCCTAGATATCTCACTTTCTTTGTTGTCTGAATGTTTATTTTCCCAACCAATTCATTTTCTTGCAATTTGGTCATATTCTTAACTAACATTTTAGTTTTCTCCTTATTTATCCTGAAATCTGCTACTTCTCCATATTCTCCCAGTAGTTCCATTAGCCTTGCACCAGACTGTAAGGGCTCTTCAATGATAAAGATCAGATCATCTACAAATCCTGTACTTTAAAAGTTTCTTTCTTAATTTCTAAACTTTTAATTTGTTCATCTTTCTGAATTATTCTAGTCAGAACTTCTAAGGATAATACAAAAAATAACGGTGATAATGGGCATCCTTGTCTGTAAATAAATTCTTAAGTGCATTAAATTCCTCACAGTGCAGTGATCCCATAATCAAGAATAAATTTCCCATAAAAATATATAAATAAAATTATAGGAGGTATAACATGACCAATATGAAAATACTACATAGAATGCTTTAGTGGAACACATATTATTATTTTAGGTCCCATATCTAGAAATGTAAACACAGTCCAAATATATTCCTGAACTCTCATGAACACGGGCATCATTATGTGAGCCACAGATACTGTCTTATCATGCTTTGTTTTATTGATGTAGAATTACACTCTTATCACAATGTGAAACTGCAGTGATGGAAACCATAAAGTCACAATACTTCACAAGAGAATAAATATCCTTTTGTCATGACAGATGTTAGATAAAAAGTGGCCAAAGATAATCCTAAGAAAAAGAAGCAGAAAGGTCAGCAGTAACAATCAGGAGAGCGTATAGTTATATTTTGTTACTATATTTCTGTTCCAAACTTATTAATCAAAGCTAATTCACACCAAAAGTGCTTCAGAATTAGCCATGAGCAAACTGCACTATACTTGATGCTCCTTAGCAGTGCCAGAGAGTTATTATAAAGAACAGAAATTGGGAAAAGACAAAAATGAGAAAAGAGAAGCAAGTTTTTTAAAAGCACACAACATGGTAGAGCAAATCCTACTCCACTTCTTCCTTCAAGCTGTTCTTGTGGCAATATCATTTACTGCATGCTATTCTCAAACTAATGTTTTTCAATATGTATTTATAGCACTTCCTTCATATTTGTACCAGCATTTATAAATCTTGTAGCTTCCTGATTTTGCTGTTTCTGCATGTCCCTAGTTCTCTGCTAAACAATGACATGGTTTGTTTAGTTTTATATTAGCTGAGATTAGCACAGTGTATAAAATCAATTTTTGCAGTTTGTAAACTGGAATTTGGGCTTAGTGTATCGTATAAATCTAAACATTTGTATTCTTAGTACATTTGATTTTTTAAAAGTGTAGTATATGTAGTGTGGACCCAGTCTATAGCTTCCTAAGCAAACCTTAGTTAAAATAAACTCTGGTTTACCACAAAATGGAAATAATACAACTTTAGTCAATCCTTTTCTGGTTTCCTAAGCTTAGGTAATGGTTCTCATAAACATTAAATTATAGTTGCTTGTAGTTTTGTGAATCCACAAAACTTTTTGTAAACTTATCCATCTGAACATCTTACCCATTTGGCACCTTCCCTACATGCCAGAAGTACTACAGTACTCCTCAAATACTTTGTTAGACAGACTTCCCGATAATTCTAGAAATTGTGATCTCAATATAGAGGGAGAAAGCACATTGAGCAAAGTTTGTGTCAAAGTGTTACATGAAATCCAGACAACTGAACAACCATGTTTAGGCAAATCATGGTTTTTCCTATCCCATGTGCCCAACCACAACCTTCTCTCAAGATTCTTAGTGATCAGATGAAGAATGCTTTTCAGGAACCTTACCCAGAGATGGACAAAATATTATCAACAAGCGAAGACTTATATCAAAAACAACCATAGATTTCTAGGTTTAATGGTTGAAACTGACAATCAAGCAAAAGAAGGATATTTCTTGACTAGCAAAGAAAAGATGCCATGATGCTAGTAGTACCTGCCAGGTGGTTAGTTGACTAAGAAGATTCCACTTCCACCTAATAGATACAGTGGTTCCTACCTTACCCAATTTTTGTTAATTATAATGTTTAATGTTTTTATATTTTGTTTTATGATGTTGTAAGCTGCCCAAAGTTCCTTGAAAGTGAAATGGGTGGCTTATTTAATAAATAAATGCTAACACCTCTGAAAAGCTTGATGTATCAAAAATATTCATGCTACTTGCTAATTGCAAGAGAAAACACTACATATGCCTTTTTCTTTTTGTATTTCAATGGTGTTCTGAACTGAGTATGTGCATTTCTTCATCCAAGAGTTCCAGTTTTGTAATGGACAAGAAAAGACAGGTAGAGGTTCTCTTTGCAGGAGGCTGGGGATAGGTTGAAGTTATCCTTAGCAAGCAGTTAGTGTTTGCAATGGATTAAGCAGAATATATGGATGTCCCATCTCTTGAATCTGTTTTCTTTCTCTCTGTGTCATTGTGATGTTTACCAAGATGGACCCTATGAACTTACCATAAATACTGCCAAAGGCCAGAAAGTAGGAAAAGTGTTTACGCTTGATAAAGGTGATGCTGTTCAACTGTACTGCTCAGCAGATTCCAATCCACCAAACATTTATTCATGGATCCTGAAGGCAAACAACTCCATATATTCAGTACAATATGGAAGATTTCTTGAAATTGCATCTGAGAAGGTGACACAGAAAACAGAATATATATGCACTGCTTACAACAACATGACTGAAACCCATGTTGAAACCCACATCTTGGTGATAGTAATACCAAAAGGTAAGAATGAATGAATGAATGAATGAATGATAGGTATACAATAGGTATAAGTTTACAGTGTAGAGAATGCCAATTTGGGAAATGAGATGTAATACATCTGCAGAAAAACATCCTGATCTTATATGATTCCACAGGATACATATTGTTATATGTGGAATGTTCAAATTCTCTTTTCTTCAATGCATATGTAATAGTTATTGTCATTTAAGACATTTCTTACCCTTGGATATATTAAGACATTCTCTTAGAAACAGAAGCTAAGCAGAGGTTATCAAACATATTTCTTGCATGTCCCACATCTCAATATTATTTTTTATGTGCTGTAATATAGTTGCCTATTCCCCTTTAACATCACACTGTATAGTGTAGATGATGTTTGTGCCAGCATATCAAGATTTAGGATTTATCCATTTGTATTTCAGAAGTTCAAAATGGATCAACAATGATAAATCAGTTGTATATTGCTTTATAATACATTATTAAATTGAGTAGTTCAAAACCTACAAACCTCCATTGTTCGATTCCTACAGTGTCAGTCTCAGTATTGCCAATAATTAAAAATGTTAATTTCTAAATGGTCAGAGATTCCTTACCCCTTGTCTCATTCATTAGGTTCATCTAATGAAAGAAGGCAACGGCATCTAAAAGAAAGAAATAGACTAGGTCCCACCTGAAAAAGCATTTGATTTCATTTTAAATCATATTTATGAAATATAATTGATATGATTGCTTCTAATTATTTATTAAAATGCTTGCAATTTTGGGACAATTTTAAAAAATCTCTAAAGGCCCCATCCAACACTTCGGAGATTTGAAGGGAGATGCCTTGGGCATCTACAGATTGTATTGTCTCTCTCCCCACACACACATACATTTAAATAGACAGAACATACAGTCTTTCTTCCTTCTTTTTTTCTCAGTTTCTTCAATTAATACATCAGTAAACTTTGGTAGAATTATGATAGAGGTTCATCATTTTACCCCTCCTACTGTGGCATAAATACCTTGTTAACTATTTTTAAGGGGGGGGCCTTACGTTCATTTGATCTCATATCATTGCAGAAGCAACCTTTAGTCTATCTTTAGTTCTTTTGATAGTAACATTCCAGTCCTGAAGTGATTCTGTTAGTTAGCATGATGCCTTACAGCACATTTCCCAAGCTTATTTGTGTCCTGCACCACAAAACTCTGTGCCATTTGTGAATAGCAGTTGCCTATTGTATAGAGGGATTTAGTGTAATGGTACATGAAAATTTTCTTTCAAACGTGTTTAAAAAATAACAGGTTAGAACTGTATATTAGATTGAACAAGTGAATACAGAGAAACAGACAGACAGACAAATTGGTATCTCAGAGTAAAAAGGAAATGATCAAAAATAAGTTTGGCATTGGTAGAACATTTGGCAATTTTAAACAAGAGTTTTTACCATTAGGCAGACTGATTTGTCAGAAAAGGAAGCATATTGTTAGTTATTACACATGGGATATTATTTTGCTATGTGATTAGGAGTGAGAGGAACCAGTATTTTCTGTGGTATGAAAACTCAGAAAAAAATGGAACCTGGATTTAACTGACAAGCAAGCCTTGGGTGGTCCTTGGTGCTCTCCTTCTTTCTTGCAAGAAAACAACCAAGTTCAGAAAGCATCAAGGACTCCTCATTTCAACTCCGAACTACAAATATTGTCCTTTATTCGCAAGTAAAGTCTTCTTATAAGAGAAGCTGACTGTATTAAAGACTATGAGCAGCTGACATCATTTTGTTTTTATTGACATCAATTTCATTTTAAAAAAGCAAGGATTATGTAACGTTAGGAAAATTGAACCACATATCACTAATTAATGTCAAACATCTTTTGCATGACAGTTCAAATTTCTAGCAATAGTGATTTATTCCCTTCTTTTTCTCTTCGGTGTAAAAGGGAAATATGACAAAAATTGATTTTAGAAAAAGCAAAAAAACCCTAAATATTTCAGTTTAAAATTCCCTTTTATCTTAGAAAATACTTTTTTATTTTAAGTGAAATTAATCTATTCTGCTCAAGGTTTTAACCTAAAAAGAAAACTGAAATAGTGACAATGTGATTCTTTTAATTGATGACCTTTAAATGTTTACGAATTATGACTAACCGCATTATTGATTTTTCTGCTGTCAGTATTAGCAAACTTATAAAAATATTTATTTATTTTGCACTGTGAAACCTGAGATGCCAGAAACAGGTCAATCATAAATAACTGGCATCTTGTAGTATCAAGGATACTTCAACAGTAATTTGTGCATCTATGCAGAAAATATCTGTCTTTGTAAAGTAATTTTATTAAAAGTTATAAAAACAAAGATTAAAAAACTAATGCAAACTAGCATAAAGCAAAGAAGGAAAAAGAAAAAGAAATCAGAGACAAAGATAAAAGTGCAAGAAAGAAGGAAAAGGTGAAAGAAAAATACTGTGTTTCCCCGAAAATAAGATCCTGTCTTATATTTTTTTGAACCCTGAAATAAGTGATTGGCCTTATTGCCATGCGCTCTAAAGCCCAATTGGGCTTATTATCAGGGTAGAAAAGAAAAGAGATACAAAGAAATGACTTCCAATCTTCTTCACAGTAGTAAAGTACATTACAAGTAAACTTACAAATTTATCTCTTTCTCATTACACTTCTTTCTATAATCTTTTCTGTCTAGTTACCAAAATCATAAATCAAATTTTCGCTTTTCTGTTTCATGCAAATCAATTAGGGGCTTTCAGTCAGTAATAAATGAAGATACTGTTTTTTCTCTAATCTAAAGAAGTCTCAATGAATTTCTCCATGTTCATCAACCATTCCTCCACTGGAGGAGTTTACAAATTCTTTCCATCTTTGTTTATGAAATAATTTTGCTGTATCGTGTACAAAAGCCAAGCTCCATGACTTTTTTCTAACTGTACATCAGTCTCAAAAAAAAAAAAAAAGTCTGTGATATCAATTGTATATTAATCTTCAAAAATTCTCTGAATCAGTGTTTATATGAATCAGTTATAGGTCTGATTAGGTATTGCAAAGAGAGAGAAAGAGAGAAATTGGAGTTGATATAGGAGAAGCAATACTGGTATTGGGCTCGAGAGAAAACCTGTTGAGGTAGAAGTTCTCCTTCATATATGACCACAATTGGGATTGGAACTTCCATTGCTTAGCAATACAGTTGTTAACTAAACCACACCAAAGTTTAACGACCTTTTAGCCATGGTCATTAAGTGTGTTTGGCTTCTATTGACTTTTCTTGTCTGAAGTTTTCTGGGAAGGTCACAAATTGTGATCAGAACACTGCAACCATTGTAAATACATGCCTGTGTCCAAATGACCAAATTTTGATTACCTGGCTGCAAGGACGTGCAATGATCATAAGGGTGAGGATCAGTCATAAGTCACTTTTTTCAGCGCTGTTATAACTTTGAATGGTGGTTAAAGGAATGGATGTAAATCAAAGGTAACCTGTAGTACTTAAGGCATTGAACTAGAAATTGGGAGACTATGAGTACTAGTTTTGCCCTAGGCACAAAGTTAGCTGGGAGACCTTAGGCCATTCACTTTCTATCAAACTTAGGGCGAAGACAAGGTTAAGCCACTTCTCAAATCTTTCCAAGAAAATTGCAGGGACTTGTCTTGGCAATTACCAAAAATCAGAGGATGCCATTATGAACTGCTCCATTTTTCAGTATACTATATATATAGCCAGTTTGGACTATTGGTTAAATCACTGAGCTAGAACACAAGAGAACATGAGTTCAAGTCCCACCTTTGCCATAAAAGCCAGCTGGGTGACCTTGGACCAGTCAGTTCCAGCCTAAATCACCTCACAGGGATGTTATTGTAGTGAAAAGAAGAAGGAAGGTGAGTTGGATGTGTTCACTGTTTTGAGTTATTTGTAAAAATAAAGATGAATCTGGTATTATCTCATCTGTGGAATTCTTGAATAGATTCAGATGTTCAAAAATAGAAAATACAGTTATATAATGGAATAATAGAGTTGGAAGGGATCTTGGAGATCTTGAAGGTCTTGCCGAACCCTCTGCTCAAGCAGGGAACCCTAAACCATTTCTGACAAATGGTTGTACAGTCTCTTATTAAAAATGCCAGTGTTGGAACACCCACAACTTCTGGAGGCAATTTGTTCCACTGATTAATTGTTCTAACTGTCAGGAAATTTCTCCTTGGTTCTACGTTGCTTCTCTCCTTAATTAGTATCTATCCAATGTTTCTTGTCTTGCCTTCTGGTGCTTTGGAGAATAGGTTGACCCCTGTCTTCTTTGTGGCAGCCCCTTAGATACTGGAAACTGCTATCATATCACCCCAGTCCTACTTTTCATTAAACTAGACATACCCAATTCCTGCAGCTCTTTGTACATTTTAGTCCCCTAATTATCTTTGTTGCTCTTCTCTGCATTATTTCTAAAACCTTGGCATCTTTTTTATAATAATGGCAACCAAAACCGGATGCAGTTTTCCAAGTGTGTTTATGTAAAGGCATAAGGTGATATTAATGTGTGATCTTGATTCTATCCCTCTATTAATGCAGTTTAGGACTGCATTGGTTTTTTTGGCTTGGCAGCTGCAGCACACTGCTGGCTCATATTTAAGTGTTATGTCTTGTTGTTCTGTCCAGGACAGCTGTTTCCTTTCCTCCTCATAGATTCATAAAGTTGAAAGACCCTGTTTAGTCCATTAATTCCAACCCCTTGCCCAATGCAGGTACTCTTATTAAAAAGATAATCTGCAGAAGATAATCAGCAGAAGATTATCTAGCCTCTGAACAAAATCAGAGAAGGAAAGCCCACCTTTTCTCCAATCTCACTGTCAAATTCCTTCACACTGATAGAATTTTTAAAAATAGTTTATGCTTGGAATCTGTTCTCCAATGTGCTCCCTCACTTTCAGGGATTTCTACTCACATGAGATCATTTTCCTAGTAGCTTCTTTTTATTGTGCATTCTTAGTTTTAAATGCTCTGAATTTAAAGCATCCATTTTTGTCATTTATTGAACTAACTTCAGTTTAGTATTACTTTTAATTTTAAATTATGGGCCAAATTTATAAATTATTTTAACTTTATTTTTAACTGTGATGTTTGTATAGATGTTTTTTATCTGGCTGTTCACCGCCCTGAGTCCGAAAGGAGAAGGGCGGTATAGAAATTCGAATAAATAAATAAATAAAATAAATAAATAAATACTTCTAGTCAAAAGCTCCAATTTAATACGATTTTTAGTTTTTCTATTTCCACTTCCTTAACCAAAGCTTCTTTACCAGTTAGTAACAAGTCAGTCAAATCTAGCTGATTCTTTATTGCATTCTTCCCCTCTATTCAAAAAAATAGACAGTAACTTCAGTAAATTTCCAGTTGGTGATGCTTAAAGGGGGCTTCACTCCATAGGGCACTCTCTCCCCCTCCTTTTCAATATCTACATAGAACTGCTGAGTGAGGTTATCCTCCAGTTTGATGTTCAGTATGATCAGTATCTTGTCCCTCTGAAAACAACTATCTCTGACTACTTGCTCTATCTCAGTACAGAGAAAAAGTGAACTGAACATTACTTCTCTTTCTGAAGCTCCCCCCCCCCAGATTGACACCTATTTATAAAGGGCAAACGATTAATACATTTTTTCCTGCATGCCATAAAGCAGGACGGGAAGTATTATATAAAAATTTTCAAGAGACATGAATTAAACTCTTGTCTGGTGACACCTGTAGTGATAAATTATTATTTTTCTTATTCAAATAGATTAACTGCATTTGCTAATCTGGCACCTATACTAAATGTCTTTCCTCTCAACTCCATTCAATTAGTGTGAAAATAATATCTCTGAACAAATTGCTTATTCACTTTGGAAGCTTCTATGAGAAGTTTCAAAACTTGATTAACAGAACCAAAACTGGAGGCACTGGATTTTATCTCTAGCACACAGATGCCTTATCAGTGAAATAAGCAAATTTGTGAAACCATGGCTATATCTTATCTTTTTCATATTTACATTTACTAAATTAGGGATTAAATATATTTAACTAAAGATAGCCATTTTGGGAGACAAATATCATTTATTCTGGCACCAGGCAAAACGTTCTCCATGAAGAAAATATATACATAAGAGGCACCATAAATTAATTCTTGGATGTATAAGAACACACAAAAATCAATCGCTGTATTATGAACTTTCACTATGTTTTATCAGTTATATCTTTTATTCTCCAGGAAAAACCGTATCCATCAGCAAGACAGCAGAAAATGATTACTGAGCAGTTTAAGCAGCCTTATGTTTTCCTTCCCCCTTTAAGCAATTTTTAAGTATTTTTTTTAATTGCTATACAGACCTTAAATTATTATAAATCTGCTAGGTTCATGCACTCAGCTATGGTTTATTTAATAAATGGCAAGGCTCACAACATTGCTAAGCTATGATTCATAAATCACAATAATGTACCACAGTAATGAACCAAGTGTGCATAATGTAGGAATAGGATACTGGATTAGAAAATCTGATTTGAAAATTCCTTTCAGCCATGAAGCCCACTGGGTTATTTTAAGGCATCTTAATTTAATGAACATACCCGATTCATGTATCATGCTAAAACCATGCTTTACTTAAATGTGACTTATTATCAAGCTGGATGCATTGATGTATTCCACTAAACAACGAACCACAATAGGCAGTTTGCACAAAATATAGCCAAAATGCAGCTACAGTTCTCTTGCATGAATAAAGTAGAAGAGGTTGAAGAACTATAAATATTTCCTTGGTTTCATTGAAGGATATAAGCCACAGTAAATAAATACAGCCAATTTTATGTAATCAGTAAATTATAGTAAATTATAACTTAATGTGCTATATGAATCAGCAACAGAACCAAATCAAATATAATGCAATATCATTGACTCATCCCTGGTGATGTGTTAAACTGTATCCAGTTTTGGATGGATACAGTGATTGTATTTAATGCAGGGGTGAAATGCTACTAGTTCAGCCGAATCAGCAGCGATGGCAGCGGGTGGTTCGGAGAACTGGTAGTGCAAGGCTTTGCCCACCCGCCCAATCATTGTTACTTCCTTGTTTTAACCAGGAAGTATCCTGTTTTTTACCCTCTGCGCATGTGCAGAAGGGTTTGGGCATGCGTAGAGGGGCAAAGCGTGTGGCGCATGCACTTCCGAACTGGTAGGGAACATAATTCCTGATCTAAAGGTTTACATTCTACTTTCTACTAATAAATATGGTCTCTGAATTTTGCATAGAATGTAGATTGGTTTTAGTTGTTGGATATACATTTGCAATAAATTAGACATTTAAAAAATGCTTTTGGGTCCAGCACGCTGAGCTGTTGCTGGAAGTCATGTACGTGTTACAACCTCTGATAGATTCTATTTTGCTCTCCCACATTTGAATTAAAATTATTACGGGGATATTCTAAAGTTTAAAATCCTTCTTGTTTACTGCCATTTATCTCCAGTGGTCAATGAAGAATTTGTGATTAGTTTACAATTATAGTCTGTCTCAAAGAGGGATATTAACTACTGTGGATTTTTGTTTTTATTTCATTTTGTTCCTTCAAAAGCGCAGCAGTAGAAATACATAATTTCATGATTCATGCCTTTAACATTGCTAAGGGAATGATATCTGGGCTGCAAAAATCTCAACAACTATTGGTAGAAATCTCTGAAGACTTTGCTGCTAAAGAAAACTATAGTTATTTGGGGAGAATGAAAGAAAGGTGATTGAAGCAAATAAAAATGCTATTGTTTCTTCTATAGCAAGATAATCTTTGTACATTCTTTAGTCGTAAATCAGGATTTTGTCTACTTGTCTCATTTATCAAAGTCTAGTTTGTAGACTTGTTTGTCTACAAACTAGACAAGTCTAGTTTGTAGACTTGTAGACATTGCTAGCATTTCAGTTTAATTCAGAAAAAATAGCAACAAGAATTTCAATTTCCTTTTTGATACAGGAATCATATTTTTTTCTCTAGCTCCTTTTTCTGCTGTTCTATTTTTGTTCCTATTTTTCTGTTTGCCTCTCAAGTCTAAAACGAGACATCCTGCAAGAGGAGATGTCAGCAATAAACTGTGACAATGCAGTATGCTTTCTGGAAGTAACTTATATTTTGGGTTTCGTTTATGATGCTGTATAGAGCTGGCCAGTATGGCTTAAGGAACAAACCTAGTTATATTGTTAGGAATAAAGCAGCAGATTTTATAAACAACGTCACAGCATATTCATATGCTGAATAACCTAAGTTATTCAGCAACCCAACATACTCATACATTAATAGTGGTAACCTAAAATCCTCTCTGGCTGCTGTTGCAGTTTTCCTAAATAGTAGTCTACATCAATGTTTCTTAACCGTAGCAACTTTAAGATGTGTGGACTTCAATTCCCATAAATCTCCAGCCAACCAGGGATTTTTGTGCTGACGAGATCAAACATTCCATATTAGGCAGGTGCATGCCTGTATCAGAGAAAAAAACAAATCACATTATGATACAATTAGATTATGTATGAAGTCTACTGAGTGATCAAGTCCTATAGAGGTCTTTTACCATTTTTCATGTGTAATGCTTTCTCCATCTTACATTATTTTCTTCATAGTCAAACTATGGCTGTATACTTAGGCTACATCTAATTCTTTAATAATGTTCCAGTATTTGTTTTTCATTCCTATAGATTTTTAAAGAGATTTTTTTAATGTTCTCCAAGCTATTAGAAATAGGGATGAAGTATGAGCATCCCCTAATGGCCACCAACAAGTACAGCAAATGCTGTTAAGGAATGATACAATAAATCACCCTTTAATACTTTTATCTGCAAAAATGAGGACAAGGAATTTTCTGAAAGTAACAATTTCAAATACCTAAACTGGGTAAATAAAGTGATTTTCCTGTTCAAGGAGAAGAATTAGATATTTCCTTGCATGTATGTTCTTTGTCACCTCAGCTAAAGGGTAGAGCAGAATACATCCTTTTTTGCATCCCAGAGGTAAGTAGTCATTTAAGGCAATATTTAGTGTAAGGCAATTATTAAGTTCCCTGGATAAGAAATGGCTGCAGAAAGAAACTACCTACAGTATATTTCTATCATCCCTTGCTGTTCCTGTACAGTACTCAAATATCAAGTTTACCTTTATTGATTAATCAGCCATTGTCAAACAACAATGGGCATGAGTTGCAACAAAATAGAATAAAGTAAGAGAAAACGAAGAAAGAAGAGTTAAAATATAAGAAAATAAAATAGAAAATAATGTAACAAAAAATAGTATACAGAAACATGAGTACTAAAATACAAGTCAATATTTGTTTAGGTAAATCACCAGCTTTACATGCAACCAATATGTTCCATAAAATGTGTTCAGTCAGTTGAACAGTCTTGACTAAAAGTTTAGCAATTCAAATGACAACATATGTATTTGTGCTTGAAGGAATTTCGGCAATCTTTGGTGAGAGACCCAGGGTATTTCTATTTCCTAATCTCAATGAATATTGAGCCTTTGGTGAGACACTACTCCTTATTGTTTCTTCTTCCCAATCCCATAGAACAGGGCTGTCAAATTTGCAGGCCAGATGTGTCATGCGCTGGCCATGCCTACCTCCAGTATAGTAAAGGGGGGAAAGTCACAATATGTCACATGACACTGCTGTGACGACGTGAGTTTGACACCCCTGCCATAGAGAATATTCTGAAATTGTTTGAAATTAGCTGTGCAATCTCTTACATCAGAAAGTCAAGAACAAACGGAGGACCCTGATAGCTATTTGATGTTCCTTCTAGCCCAGGGCTGTCAAGCTCACGTTATGCTTGTTTTTATAAGAATGAGGGAAAGGAAGTGAAGGGAAGAAAAAAAAGAGAGAGAAAAAAAGAAAGAAAAAGAAAGAAAGAGTTAATTGTTGGTAATATAAATGTTGAGAAATTGTGCTGTATTGACCAAAGAATGGAACAAGAAATTTGACTTAATATTTTGTAACAGTTACTAAAACCAAAATAACAACTTAATAGGTATTAATTGTCCCCAACAAGTTGTCCCTTCATGTACATATTTGCAAAATGTGTGAATTTCTTTTCACCATTGTACTATAATAGGCACCCAGCTTTGAATTCCTATTGTTGGAGTATAACTGCCATCAATGGTTGACATGGGCTATTTTTACTAAGAATGATAGAACATGTGATCCAGCAATATCTGAATGTCCAACTTTGGGAGGAGATGCCATAGGAGCATCTTTAATCTATGCATAATCTAAATGAAGGGATTTATTATTAATCTAAATGAAGGGATTTATTTATGGTTTGTCTGATCAATAAGAGATACTAACTTTAGATGTTTTGGGGGTCATCTAAATCAAACCTAAGAAGCAATTTTGCATCTAATGTCTGATATATTATATATATATATATATAAAATTTAATTTAAAGAAATTTTATGTGAATTTTATACTATATGCCTATCCAGAATTATTTCACAATTAACAATCAGAGATTAATTTCTATCCTTCTCTGTTATAGGACTGGATCAGCTAGCTCAGAAAGGGAAATATTTATCCCCCCTGGCAATAATAACTGGAATTTCATTATTTTTAATAGTATCAATCTGTATTTTTGCATTATGGAAACGATTTCGGCTATATAAAGGTATGTTAAATGAAGACCTATTATCTTCAAAGTTTCTATAAATTATACTTTTAAAAAACAATTTTTATTTTCTTTGCTTTTTGTAGGAAAACAGCAGAAATCGAACAGGTAGAAAACTAAATTATTCTTTTTATATCAACTCTACATAAACGTTTATTTTTTTTAAAAAGTCTTCTCCTATATGGTATTGATACAACATGAAATTTAAAATATTTCCATTTTTTAGAAAAGCCCCCAGGACTAAAGCACGTTACCGAAAAGGACAAAATAAGTCAGGTAATACAAGCATAAAATGGAGGCATATTCATCATAAACTAGAAAGATAGATATATAAACAGGCAGAAAGATAGATAGATGACAAACAGATGGATAGAATGGGCTGTTAACCACTTTACAATATAAGCTCTAGGGATGCCAACTTAGTGACAAAATTTTCTTATCTTTATCCTTTTGAGAGAAGGGCAGGGAACAAAGGTCTGGGTTATAATTTCATAATTTTTTTAATTAAACCCTTTTTTGGAACAGGGATATGCTTGGAATTAAGAATATGCTGGAGACTAGTGTTTTATTTTGCAGCATGCCTGATTCCCAGTTTTTAAATTAATATGCAAAAAGTCAAATAGATGAGTAAGCAATTTGAAGGATACCAAGGAAAGTAAGTGCAGGGACATGGACACATACACACAAACACACATGCACAATTTCTTATAGATATGGGGACAAAATTTGTGATGGTCATACATTACTTTTTCTTTTGAAATCTAAAATTATGAAGTTTCTATGTACTTCATTTACTTTGGAACAAAATTGGTGTTTAAGGACAAATAAGGATAAATTTTGTTCACTTTTATATATTTACTCTGTGGGGAAAGTATGAACTTCTTTTCTGAACTTCTGTTTTCTTAATGTTCTACTTGGAACATCCATCATGGTCTGTAACCTCTATTCTCTTACTCAAATGTTGCAGCAATCAACTTTTTCTTAATATTTCATTGATGATATTTCATTTCATCAGCCTGAAATATAATATTGTATAACTCATCACAATTCATGTTTTTATTTAAACACCTATATTTTTAGGACATGAAAATACAGGGGAAGGAGTATACGAATTTATTGAATGTGCAGGTTCTGCAGGAACTCCATGGGTAAGTGTTTGTATAATGAAATAGACATACAGTATTTGAAGAATCAGTACTATCTGTAAAACAGGATTATAAAATAAAGTAAATTCCCCAAATTAGAATTCCTATAAATTCATGTTTTGAAAGCTTATTTTCCACTTGTATATTCAGGTTTTTCCCCCCCCGCAAGATCATAGGAGTTAAAGACCTCTCAAACTTGTGATGGTGCTGAAAGAGTACTATTTAGACTAGTCCTCAAAATTCCAAATGTTGGAGCATCCTCATGTTATTTGATTGCAATCCAAATGCTCAGCAATCTATCCAGATTTCTGACTATCATATTTCCAGCTGGTTACATGATTGTGATTTACAAGCTTCTCTGTCAGCTTCGCACAAGCAGAGTCAATATGAAACCAGCAGGAAGTTGGAAACTATGGTCATGTGAGGTCCTTGCTTAACTTTGGTATCTAGGGACTGCTGAAACTATCATCACGAGTGGGTTGATTATATGACATTATACTTTATAATTGCAATTTTTAGCAATGGAAATTCCAGTCCCAGTTACCATTGTTAAGTGAGGATTACCTGTAATTTCTATGCTTCCCAATTTATCTTCATATCAACAAACTTGTTATGTATTTTAGGCTAAAAAAATAACTGACCTAAACATCTCATTGAGATTCATAGAGTGCAAGAAGTAGTCTCCTCTGTCCTGATCCATCACTTTTACCACTCCACATTGGTTATACTTTATTTATGTTGTGGATGTTTTTACAGCTTTTATGTTTTTTAATTGCTTTATCATTTTATTATTGTGAACTACCCAAAATCACTTGATTGAGTTGGGAGACTATAGAAATTGGATGGATGGATGGATGGAATGATGGAATGATGGGCTTCTACTGTGATCTTGCTTATTTATTTAAATAAAATTATAATCTGCTTCTTTCAGCCACCAAGACGGCGTGTTACTGACTCTGATGTTGGGCAAAGTCAGAGTGTTAATGTTACAGTTTATGACGTTGTTCAGCATGTTCCTGAACAAAACCAAGAACAACAAGAGTAAGTTCATAATGCTAATATGTTAAGAAAGGTATTTGGTTTGGCCCTATAGATCTTTCAACAGTGATATCTATCTGCTTTTATCAAGTCCATCAACCTTGTTGCTGATAGTCCTCTTCTCTTGCCTTCACCTTTTCCTATACAAAAGACATGATAATACTCTTTAAATATCATAAGGACTTCCACAAAGTGAATGCTTATTCTCTGTTAACATAGGGAGAATGATTAAATGTAGTGGGTTTAAGTAACAAGAGGAATAATTTGTAACAATAATATTGTCTGAAAATACTGGTAATTACCTAGAACTAGGAATTAATTTTCCCATTTTGAAGATGTTTTAATTCTATATTTCCTACATCACAGGGAATCAATTAAACAGCATTCAAGTTCTCTTTCTCCCCCAAATACTCCGTCTCCTCCAAAGTTCTTTGCAATTTATAATATAATCTCTATGCATGTTTCTTAATTACACTGAATTAATTGGAATTTGCTGCCAAGTTCAATTATATTAGGGAAGGGAGTAAACCTTGAGAATAATGTTTTTGTTATCAAACAGCTCTTGTATACACAGCATATTCCTATATATAGCCCTGGAATAAAATAATTCTGACCTCAGAAAGTCAGGCTATATTTATACATCACCTAAATATGTTGTTTTGTTCTCATGATGACAACTTAAACTGTGTATTTGTTAAACATGTTGTTTTCTCATGATGACAACTTCAGCTGTGCATTTATTAAACATGATTTATAGCTTAGTATTATTTGTGAAGCCACTTCATCTCATTCAATCTATGATTTAGTCTATAACAATATAAAGATACATATTTTGTATCAAACTCTAGTTGATTTTTCTTCTTGATTCTAATCAGAACCAAAATAGAACACATAAGCCAGAAGTCTGATTATCACAAATATATTTGGTAATTCTGCTATTCAGGAAGGTTATTGTCTGAGATGGTATGAGGTTACAGAACAACAGATGAAGTCCATGGATTTCCTCAAATTTAATATAAAATAATTGTGCATTTTCATTCAAGATCGTAGAAGATTTCAGAATAAAAATTGTCCCAAATCTTGGGAGGTTTGATAGTGTTACTTGGGACAACTTCAGACTTCACTTATTATTGTTTGTTTTACACATATACACACACACATGTATATTCATATACATGTGTGTATAGGAAAGGGAGTTGGAAAGGGAAGGTAATTATCTTATGTTCTTAAGGCTGTGATTAAATAATACTCTTTTTCCTCTTAGTGATGCATGAAAAGGAAAATGGAAGCCAAATTACATCTGTTTCCATAGAAAACCAACAATTGCCTGCAGGAAAAAAATTCTGACATATAATACAAATGCCACCTCAAAGTTAAAAAGCAAAACATTTTTTCATGGACTGCATTTCTAACAGAAATAGCTTATGATTACTGGTTAGACTGTAAAAGTAATCGCTCCAAAGCTAGAGCAAAATGTTAAAGTGTGTTCAACTATTTTATTTTAGAATGGGGGGATTTCCCATTTTGCCTAAAGAGATTGACAGTTTCATTATTTGTTTAATGCAACCAATGTGCCTTATTGTTTTACGTAAGTCTATACTGTCTAAAAAGGAAAAACAGTGGTATGTTAGCAAGTACTAAGTGCAGTATTTTTTTTTAATAAATATCTGCTTTTTTTTTAAACACCAGCACCAGCTAAGGATTTACCTGCAATTAAAATAAGTTCCAGAACTTCAACTGATAGAGAACATATTGTAAATAGCATACTTTTCTATATCTAGGCATTTAATGTACGGAGTATAAAATATAGTACTACCAGCAGTGACTAGAGTCAACATAAAATATGACGGGGAAAGTTATGATAATCATTCTCAAATTTCCTCCAATCCCAGCTACCATGTTTCCCTGAAGACCTATCTCAAAAATAAGCCCAATCTTGATTTTTATATGTGCGTTCAAAAGCCTTACCCCCAAAATAAGCCCTAGTTATGAATCCCCCCCCCCCCCCCCCCCCCCGTTGCATGGGTAAAAATGAAGCTATGGGAGGGTAGATCTGCCCTACTTACCTTCGGACAGTTACAACCAGGCCTCACATCCCCCAACACATGCCTCACCTTGCCAGCCCATTTCATCTGTGACCACTTGCCACTGCTTGTGCGTGTCACCCCTTGTGTCACAATTGCCACAATTGTCTTAGGAATTGCAAGTCTGTTTGGGCCCTAAATGAACACAGCCGATCCACATTCTAAACATCTGATTGGTTTGCATTCATTTGTTTACTTTGAAACACTCAATATCCTTTAAAAATATTTTTTCTAAACAGCTGTCTTAAAACAACAGTGTGTGTGTTTTGCCAACATCCACCTTCATTTCAGGCCTGCCCAATAAATGAAGACCTGTGTTTTCTGAAGTTAGGTTTAAACAAGTAGGGTTAACTTTCAAGAACCATTGGGTATATGTTTTTGTGCACATCCTGCTCCTGCATTCTGGACCCTAATGTTTTAGATGTTGGTTTCTGAGCACCGGAGTGGCATTTGTAATCATGAAATCAAATCCTGGGAACTTTTACAAAACACCAGCCTTAATGGAGAACTTGACCATTTCCACAATGAATTGTTATGGTGGCTACACCTACCAGAAGGCAACCTGAACAAAATAGTTCCTCCCAATTCCTAGTCCCCCTAAATGTTATCATACAAATTCATCTTTAATATCTCCCTCCCCTCAGAGTGTTACATTTCCAAATCAAAACACTGAGTTATAGCCAGACATCATTCCTAAAATACCTATGTTATGTCCATAATATTTTTTGTAAATAAAAGTGGGAGGGGATATTTTACTTGGAAGCATGCTAGTTTCCAATGATAATAATAAAACAAAACATCTTCTTAAAAAGCCAGGTAGCTCCAGGAAACCTGCTGGGAAAAGGGAAATTATTATGTAGTCTCATGCTGCCTACTTCTTACCTTAGTGCCATCTTGAGCATAATTGAAAGATAATTTCGGTAAAGATTATTATGTTATGATTATATCCATTTTATTTTACGTGCATCAAAAATAAAATTTATATCAGAGTTTGGGTCAAAAGATTTGTCCCAAAGTAATAATGCCTATATACATACATATGTTACATAGTTATTGTGTAACAGATTAACACTCTGATTATTAAAGAGTGAAAAAAATGTGGAAATGTCTTTATGCAATAGAGTATCTAACATTAGGTTTATTTGTCTGTATTATAATATATAATATGATTTAATCAAAACCAAAGTATTATAGTTTTTATTTATATCATTTCAGGATAATGGATTATATATAAATTCATTTGCTGAGTTATAAATTTATGTTATCCATTTGACAAGATTTTGAATATAAAAAATAAAATTCTATAAATATGCAACAGTGTATATTGATTATTTTTCCTCTGGGAAAAGGGTTGTTTTGCTCACTTTTGTAATTAAAACATTTTAATCCAGTAAAGTAATTTTTCACAAACTCTTATTTAAAAATAATTGATTTTCAGATGCCATAAAATTCTTCAGTTTTTTATCTCAACAAATTAACATAAGTAGTTATTCATCTGGAAAGAATTAATGTGGCATTCTTGACAGGCACAAAGGCAGATACAGATCAACAGGCACACTGACAATACATTTTATATCGCATCCAACACATTCTGAAAAGGGCTTTAGAGTTTACATAGTTTTTAAAAAATAGATATTATAAGTGATTCTGGAAATTCATTTAAATATTAAAGGATTTGTGGAATAAATCTTAAATTGATAAATTATGTGCCATCAAATTATTTTTGACTCCTGGTGACTACTTAAATCAGAAGTCCTCAAACTACGGCCCGCGGGCCAGATATAGCCTCCTGACACAATATATCCAGCCTGTGCAGTGGTGGGATTAAACCCTGCCCCTCACCTCCTACCCACTCCTTGCATGGCTGGCTTTTCCTGCCACACTTATCGCCCCTCCTACAACCGTTGGCCTAATATATACCTTGCAGAATGCAGCTGCACTTCTGTATACTTCTGCTCATCGTTGCCCATGCACTTCTGCTTACTGCTGCTTGCAAAGATAAGGCTGAAGGGTGCGGACTGGTGGGAGAGGGTGAGCTGGCAGAGAGGTAATATCGGCAGCCGGTGGACTGGCACGCACAGGGAGAGGGGAGTGCGTGGGAGACAGGTAAATTGGAGCCCTTCCTGGATGTTTCCAGAAGCCACCCTGCCTAAGCGGGGAGGGAGGAGGGGGTCCGTGAGACCATGGCATTGGAGCCCTTCCAAGGTGTTTGCAGAAGCTGCCCTGCCTAAGTGGGGAGGAAGAGAGGGTGTGGGAGAGCGTGCACTCGGAGCCTTTTCTAGGTGTTTCCAGAAACTGCCCTGCCCAACTGAGGAGGGAGAAGACAGTGGGAGACCTCACACTCGGAGCCCTTCCTGAGTGTTTCCAGAAGCCATCTTGCCTAAGGCTCAATCTCACCTCCCAGATGTGGCTTTTCCTGCAGAGCCTGCATGCCGCTCAGGGCCGGATTTAGATGAAAAGAGGCCCTAGGCTTATGAGGCCCTTTCACCTATAGTGAAAGTGTAATTTTAATTTTGCTAACAATTTGAATGTAGGCCCCTCTTGATCTTGAGGCCCCCTCTTGATCTTGAGGCCCTAGGCTGAAGCCTAGTTAGCCTATAGGAAAATCCGGCCCTGATGCCGCTTGTGTTGCGATAGCGAGCCTCTCTGCTGGTCTTGGTCTCTTCACCGACCAGGTGATCGTTGGCACATGGCTCATCCATCTCTGGACGTCAGATTGTTATGTGCCCCACCTCCCCACATTCCACCACCACCACATACACCCCCGGGGGAGAGAGAAAGACAAAATTTGAGTTTCCTGAGTTTTAAGGAGCCTGAAGCTGCTGTTGTAATGAAGTTAGGCAAGTGGCAAGACTGCTAAATTGGCCATGCTACCCAGTCACATGACTACATAGGCATGCCCATCCAGCCGCTCCAGCCCCTCAACAGTCTGAGGGACTGTGAATTGGCCCCCTGTTTAAAAAGTTTGAGGACCCCTGAGTTAGATTGATCTATTCCTAACCTGGCTCTCAGAAGTGTAATTATTCCCACTGTAACAGTGTACAGTCACATAGCTGTTGCTTGTTTTCTTTGCTTCCATCTTTCCCAGCATTAGAACCTTTTCCAGAGACCTGAGTCACATAATGTGTCCAGAATAGGATTATTTCAGCCTAGTTATTAGCACCTCAAATGAGAACTCTAGGCTGATTTATTTGATCCATCAGTTTGTTTTCTTGGCTGTCCACAGTATTCTCAGGATTTTTCTTCAACATCAAATTTCAAAGGCATCAATATTCTTCCTATCCTGCTTCTTTAAAGTCCAAATTTCTCTTCCATATGGTATGAAATACCATGGCTTGTATATACCCCTATATATTATATATATTATATATATTGAATACCCCTATTCAAATCAGGAATACAATACATGTGTTTATGTATGTTTCAACAAGGGACCTGATTAATATTTCATATCAGCCCATAATGCTGGTGTTTTCTTTAATTTACTTTTAAAAATTGGCTACCATCCTTCAAAATTAAATTAATGAAGATAATAGAAATGAGACTTGACAATAATGACACATGGGATTTGATGATAGCAAGAGATTGCCAGAATTGCTGTTCCTAAGTAGGGCAGTCTTGTGATATTTCACTGAACAATTGGATGATTTAGTGGTGATTCCCTGTAACTGCTTCTTAAGATAAGAATAAATTTATAAATTATGTAGCAACTAACAGTAATATTGCAGTTAACTCAAACATTTGAAGGAATAGATTGAACATAGATATTTTTCTCTTTAAAAGATTGAATTACAATAATATATTGGACTCTATTAATCCATCAATTTCTCAAATTACTATTTAGATTGATTTTTGGTATTAACATGCAAAAGTGAGTTTGTGGTAGTGGTTAAAGTGTCAGAATAGAACTTGGGAAATTCTAGTCCTGCTTTTGGCACAGAGCCAGATGGTGACTTGGGCAAGTCCTTTTCTCTCAGTCCTAGGAAGGAGACAATAGCAAACCACTTCTGAAAAATCTTGCAAGAAAACTAGGAGTTACTCCAGACAGTGACTGAGAATTGGCAACAACTAAACAGAAGAAATATTATTAACACGCAGTATATATTGGTACTGTATGCAGTATATATTGACCACTGTATAATTTTCTATACTTTGATAGTTTTAAATTTTATCTTCTCTTTTTTAAAGAGGTGAGATAAAAGATCACCTACTTCAAAAAAGCATGTCAAACTATGGTTGCCCAATGTACTTAAACACAAAGAAAAATGTGGTAACAATATTTTTCATCAAGATGCAACAGGTTCTATTTTTGAAGATGTTTTCAGAATAAGATTTTATAGCAATGGGGATAACTCATGATCTAGCAATACAGATGAAGGTTTGGATTTATGGGCAAGCTTCCAGCACAGGGCTCCCTAAATTTAAATCTTGAAGCAAAAATAAAAGTGGAAGAGAGATTAAAGAAATTCAACAGCATTCTGCATATTATTCTTCATATTATTAAAACAGGGCCACTCTCTCATTGATCTAATCCACGAATTTAAATTCTTAACAAATATAATGTAGCAAATTTCACAAAAAAGAATTCAAAGTTAAATTTTGTAATGAGATTTTCACATTTGCTGCAGTATATATGACTTCTCATATTAATGAGATTCAGGTAGTTATATTCAGGTAGTTATAATTCAGGTAATTTTATGGGACAATCTTCATGGAAACATTGAAAAGTAAAGAAAAATATGTTAGCTATTTTGACATAATAAAGACATAATAAAATAGTATGTTTATAAAATAAACATGTCAAAATAGTTAACATTTTTCTTTATTATTTTAATGTTTTGCAAATTTTGTCGGTATTGTAAAAATTTGCATTAGGAAACCTAGATTTGTGGAAGTATTTCAACAAAAAGTCTTGCCTCAGAAATATTTACTGTTGAAGTTGGCAGTTCCAAAATATGCTTCTTGTCATTCTAAGTATTTCCTTACAAATACATATATCTATCAAATTATAATATAACATCAATACTTATCAAAGCTACTGAGGAAGCTTCATCAGAAACATCCAAAGCTTATAACAGAATATACAACTAGTTCTTGACTTACAACAATTCATTTAATTATTGATTAAAGTTACAAAAGCACTAAAAAAAGTGACTTATGACCATTTTTCACACTTAAGCCCATTGGAGGCATCCCCATGGGCCACATAATCAAAA